CCGTACGAGCTTGCCCGTGCATCGCAGTCCTCGCAACGCCTCCTGCTACACCCCTCGCTCCCCCTCTACCTAACCCCAAACCCCCACGCTGTTGCTTCGGCTGCGCCTCCATCACGTACTCTCCCGCTCCCAACCACCATACGTACTCACCTCCATCAGGATCGAACGACGGCGACAACCTCACAGGGTCGTCACTTGCGCCCGGCTTCAAGATCAAAGTTCCAACCCAACCTTTGGGAAGGAAATGTGTAGTCAACTCTGCCTTGGAGACGATGCTGTAGCCTTCGGAGTTCACCAACGAAATCAACGGCTCCTTGGTAATCGCGGCAGCATCGGGGAAAGCCACCAAAACCGCATTGGGGACCAAAACTTCATCAGGCGCCCCTAGCTCTTCGGTCACCCCCTGCTCCACTTCCTTTTCTCCCTTCTCTTTGTCCTCCCTTCCGCTGTTATCCCCTCTCATCGAAACCCCATCTCCCGTGTTACCCTTTGCAGCAACGTTGGAAGTAGTTCCCCCTTCAGCTCCATTGCCAGTCCCTGGAGCCGGCTCTTTGGGATCGGCGGGCGGCACCTCCGTCTCCACGCCCTTCACATCCTTCTGCTTAGCGTCTCCGAGCGTACCCACAGCACCCGTCGGTGCCGAATGCGCTCCATGATCTTTGGTCACGCGCGAGGCCCCGACAACCGCAGCTACCGTAGCCACGGGAGCCGAATTCGCCGACCGATTCCTGCTTGCAGGTGGCCGGACTCCCAAAGGGGCCAATGATGCCATCTGCAGTATTGAAAAGAATTCCCTTTACGCCCCGGGTGTCACTCTTCATGGAAACGTCCTACTATACAAACAACAAAGCAACGGAGCACTCAGATGGATTAAAGACAGCGTCCTACCTTTGACGGTAATTTCTGAGCTAATCTTCTCTGCATAAATAATCTTAGACCCGACATGTTCCCCCGTGCAAGTAAACGGATTGCTACTGAGTCTAGTTCTATGTGTGCACGGAAACAACAGGAACAGATTCTAGAATGCTGGCAAAATCAATGATGAACTAGTGTACGATTGACATATATTTTAAATATGCTATGCTCCCAAGCGCCGGTATGGAAAAGCAACGAGATACTTTTATTAGAATTCCCTAGAGCTAACTACCGAGTCTAGGTGGCCAGGGTCCAACGGCGAACAGTCACGGAACGGGTATGGTCACAGATAAATACGCTATGCTACCGAGCCTCGGTACGGCGTGGCCCCGCAGGTTATCGAGCAGCTCCACCATCACTACAAGGTCTTCACATACCGAGCCTCGGTAGCAAAATATTTTACCGGCTCCGACAGCTAACCATTACCGATAACGGTTACCGAGCAACTAGAGGCGAGTGAAAAGGCGAGTGAGAAGAAACCATTACCGGGACCATTACCGTAAGCTCATATTTCAAAAACAATGGGAAAAGTCTGTTTCTACCGAGCCTCGGTAGAAACCGACCACAAGGGACCGGCACAAAACATAGCTACAATGTCAAAAAACGGGACGGGGTTGACCGTTACCGCTTACCGTTACCGCACGATATCGCCGTTTGCTTGCGCCCCTTATCCGTCCTCACAATGCCCCTTTACAATTAACTTGGATTATGACGGGACCACCCGGCGGCGTCGCTTGTGACAAAACCGCGGGGAATCTAAAAAGATTGACGGGACAAGGGTCTGAGTCTACATACGTGGTATGGACTATGATATTTGTAGAATCTTTAGGCTTCCTCCAATGTTGGCTCTCTCCCTGTGGGCGCGGCACAAATTACTGTAAATTACAGTCCGATATGGAGCATTCTGATTGGTTGTTTGGATATGGGCATCCACCACGTTGGATATGGGCATCCAACCACGTTGGATATGAACCATAGGTTTGGATTTAGTAATCATTGGACCATCCCCTAGATCCACCCATTCCCATTATCGTCAATCTGCGTGGCCAACCGATGGCCGTCCGATAGGGTCGGGTTATCCGGATGACACGTCCTACGGCCCACAGAATCGCGATATTTATCGTTACACACGCATTTAACACTGCTCACATAACAAATACAGTCGGTCCTTCATGGATACCAGTGTAACGCTTTCCCCCGGCCGCATCGTTTCGCGCAATCAGACTGGAAAATGGGGTACGGTATAAGTAATGGTAGTGCCCGGTGGAAACGATGGCTACCGAGATCTCGGTAGCATTTGCATTTGTAGCTTCATTTCTTTTTAGTGAGCGACGGAGCGGATTTTCTGGGGCGCCCAA